GCGCCCTTCCCCGATTAAGCGCTCTCCCTATCGGCCAGAATTTCAAACAAGCGCCCCCATCGAATAACGCCCTCGTCCACCCTTCCACTTCACCATCTTTGAATTGTAGGGATACAGGGTAAACTGTATTCTATTACCACTTCTTTTATGTAATATTTTTTTAAGGTTCACTTACAGCTGAAACAATATAGAAGACTTAACCGCCCCCGTCAATTTTGAAAGTGCTTTCTTTCAAATAAGCCTCCCCCCCTCCCCTTTTTAGCCGAAATTCTAAATAAGTGCTTGAGCACTTATTCCAGGAAACGCGGTTAATACATGTATAGAGCCTTTCATTAAAGAGGAAGGTAACTGTAGCTGTTCTCTTTCAGGTGGTTCACCCTATCCACGGATGGACGGAAGAAAAATTGCGAACTCACTTCAGGAGGGATACAGGATGCCTAAACCACAACACGTGGATGATAAGTTGTAAGATAATATCCTTTTGTTGATGTTTTTATGGCTTTTCCCGTACAACGGTATTTGACCTGCTTTTTTCAAGTTCTATATGAAGTGCATGCTCGGCTCACAATTACATTTTATACGTGGATACGCGAAGCGTGGACGACCATTATTAGAAGTGAGAATATGCAAATTTGTTATTCACTCAGATGTAAACAAATCGATATGTCAACGGTAAACCAATTTACATCGATTTTCCGCCTCTATCGCAACGTTGAAATATAATTGGACATTTCTTTAAGATAGTTTCGATTTCGATTTCGTCGCAGTTAGCACATGTATAACCGAGTCAAAGCTATTTGAAAGACTGGAGGTGTAACTGTGAGTGTAGAAGCTGAATGCGGAGAGTCTGGGTCTTCGAGACGTTACCTCGTCGACTCTCTAAGTTTACAGGGGGTTCATAAATAGTCAGCCTTTTACGATTGAATCTTAGGAGCGAAACTTTGTGGGAAACTTTGATCGAACGTATTACGGAACCTATGAGCACTCATGGCAGGAAGAGTATGAATCAAACGTAAGCTTAAACAAAGCTATTGGAAACATCAGTACCACAGCTGATCAGTCCATACTATCCGACCAAAACACTCTTGTGGCCAAGCAGAACGAAATTCAGTCAGAAGACTTACCTAATGGTAACAGCAATCATACTTAAAAAACTACAAGAATGACGCCACAACGTATGCCACCAATGACATACTAAGATATTCATGACGTCCTTGTGTTTTAGGTATGACATTATGACAAAATGTTGGAGAGAGGACCCTAACTTGAGACCATCTTTTAAGAATTTGAGAAACGAACTCAAAGAAATGGAAAACCAGCACAAGGTAGAATTACAAAGTTTTCAAAGAGACTCTCTCTGTTCTCCTTTTTTCTTTTCAAAGTTTGAATGTTTCAGTCTCTGCTGTTAAATTTACTTGATAACGTGTTTCCGTCACTCTCTTTTATTGCAGGGGTTGATTAACTTAAAACATTACGATGATCGACTGTACGTTAATGTCGACGATCTAGACGTGTAAGCGAGCGATTCCCAAACAGGAATGGATGGAGTAATAGATATTTGTGATCGTGCATCATACGTATTTAATACCGCAGTTCAAAATATATGAACTTCATATACTCATTGTACATGTATATTTGTAGTGAACCAAAAAAAGAAAAACAAACCTTAGCTAAACAAAACGAAGCAAACAAACAAGCTGTTTAACAGCGAAGCGAGGCAAAGTGCAGTTTTCTTATATATATTTGTTTTTCTGTTTAGATATACCGTTAAACCTGTCTTAAGCGGCACCGTATTTAGCGGTCACCCTGTTTTAAGGTTACATCCCTCCTTCAGAGGTCGAATAATTCGTTTTTTCTTTTCTTGATCGAGATTGAAGTTAGACATTTTACCTAAGGTTTGAAAAAAAAGCATTTAAATTTCAGAAAGTATCCGACTTACTTTAGGAAAACGTATCTTCAAATAAAAGTTAATAAATCAGGAGAGTGTCTTAATCTCGTAAATGGGCGAACCCCCTGGGGGAATATTCGCGGCAATTTCATGTTATTGCATATTTTCTTTACATCGCGCACTTGACAAAATTCACACGTGAAAGTTCTCTGCAAGTGGAAAGTCTTTTTTCACGGATAAAAAATAGAAATCAAAATAAGAGAGGAGTCCTTAGGCAAAAAAAAATTAATGGCGGTTGTTTCAAGACTTTAAATTTACTTCATGCTAGTAGCTGCGAAATGTTTACATTTTGTGATGGCATAGATGAAACAGAAAAAACGCAAACAAACTCGAGAGTACGCATTACCGACCGGAAATCATCTTGAATATATTTTGATTCTAAACCTCCCAGGGGTTCTGAACAACTTCTTAGAAGAGGATGTCAATCCAGGAGTTGACTTTCTTCAGCCAGTTCACTACAGCAAATATGTAACAGTTAGAGAGGGACAGTCCTTGTTCGCGAGTGAATGTGGTCAATCTCAACACAAGTCCTTAATAAAACCAAGAAGGTCAGTGTAGAGATGTTCCACCCAACTTAAATCGCTCAGTATCTGAAGATTGTTTTCTCTGAGAAAAGTTGTTTTGTTGTACCTCACAGCAAACATCCTTTGTAAACGCTAGGTCTTCAGTGGATGTCTTATGAAGGTAGGATATAGTGCTTGTCGCTTCGAGCAAAAAGTATAAGGTGTCTGGACGTCCATGGGAAGATGTTTCATTGGAAGAAGGCGAATTTTGTGAAGATTCCAGTGTTTTGCTACACGTTCCAACTCTTCTCGAGGTAGAGGTAGAAAACAGAATCTTAAACATTCCACATGCACAGGATCGGTGCCATCGTAGAGCCCTTGATCCATTAGGTCTTTAAAATAGTTAATCCACCAGTCAGTTTCGGTCTTAGGAAGAAATGCCGACCATCTCATTTTTTGGTTTGCAACAGAACGGCCGCCTAAGAATCTCTTTCCCCCCTCTCCAAATTCGTCTCGAGCATGACGCCCAAGGAACCTCCGCATCGCAGTAACATTACCATTCTAAGTACCCGCATCGGCAAGACATATGTAAGTATGTAAGGGGCCCCTCCCAGTAGTTTGACGCAGTCATGATAGAAGGTCGACATGAAATGCGCATTCAATGCTTCTATCACAGTCATGATAGAAGACCACATGTTCGATGGCGATTATTTCGCAATGGCCTCTATTGACTTCTCATCTCGATCTCCCACTCTCTTTTTCTCGCTGCCGGTCCAGGTCACTTTCTTCTTCACTTTCCATCCCATCGACGGTGTTTTCATCAAAACCGGATCTTCTCTAACATCACTTTCAGCGGAGGCAAGGCTCGCGCGCGTGTTCGACGACGAAACCTGAACTTTTAAAATAGCGTTGAGTGACTTGTATTCAAATGTAGCTCACAAACTCGGTACATAATTTGTTTAATAGTTTGACGTCACACACATCAAATTAGGAGGAAATCGGAAGTAACGCAATATTAGTTCGAGCCGGCGGAAGTCATAGGTATAATTACACCTCTGACGCGCGGGGGCTGCCAGGATGGGGGTCTTACTGGAAAAATTAGTTCTCAGGGTAGTGGGCAGCTGAGTTTATACTCGGAAGTTCAATTTCCTTGTTTTACGATCAAGCTTAACACCAACCTTGCTTAGATAAGCAGAAACTTTTAATTGTATTTTTCATTTTGTTTGTGAGCTGCCTCATTGTAATTTCCATGAGTATGCTTTCTATACGAGGGCTCTGGCCTAAAGTTTATCGAACTTGCTCATTCATTTTCAAAATATAAATATTTCAATGTAAATCATTTTGCTTCAAAGAGAAGTTTTCCGTTCCTTTGTAATTCTGATTTAAATATTGTCAGTTTAGAAAACAATAGAGCCACGCGCTCGA